AACTCCCCCGCTGCCTTCGGCCTTTGCTACACATACTTGGCCATCAAAACAGATTTCAGCAAAAGGAAGTGATAAATCCAGTAGTTGCGAGAAGGACATATCTCGGAACTGGTCTCCTAAACCAAACAAGGTAGAGCTTAAAGAGTATCATCTCATGCACACAACCTATTTGCACATATTTTATCTCAAACCATGGGGTAGAGTTAAGCTATATTAGCAGACCTGGATGCATGTAATATCCTCCTGTGAGTTGGCAACCACACTCTAAAAGATGGCCAGCCAGAGAACCTTGAGCTAGATATTCTAATTCATCCCAATTCCATCCTAGCTCATAAACCTACCCATACACCAGCTTGATCCTTCAGAATTATGTCCAACAGATAAATAAGCTACAAAGAACTGAATAATATAATTCAGAAGCGTGAGAGATTGAGAATGAACAGATAATACAATATCTTTAATAGTAGAATACTTATGACTCTATCTTAGTTTGTTAGTGTCACATTATTAAAAAAAATGTAATGTTCTGTAAAAAAAGTTCAACAGTTTTCTGAAAAGGTGGTGTATTTTTTAGAAGAAAAAAGAGAGAGAGAGAGAGAGAGAGAGAGCACTACATAAGATTAAAAGGTGGTATGTTTTGGTTCCACTAGAAGAATTAAATGAAACATGAAACAAAACTGAGTGTTCAAGTCACTTCCATCTACATCCTGCTATCTTTTTATAGAAAGAAAGATAAGACATGGCCCCATGTGCTGTGATTCATCATTAGGATCCTACTCTAAAAGAACGAGCAAATTACTTTTTAAGAATTATCCTAAGTAGACGGAAGTTAATGGAGTATACTCTATTGACTTCCTTAAATTGAAGAAATAAGTATCAAATCACATTTTATAAATCTCCCTATACCTTGTGAAAAACTATATTGTCCATATGAAGAATGAATTCAATCACTAAAAAGCAAGCGTTGATTGAGGAAGGAGACAAAGACGGGAAAATAGGAAGGACATAATAGATCATACCATAGGTGCTAAGAATAAAGCAGCATCTGCAATTCTCGAAGTAATTATTACATTTGGTTGGAACTTTTCAAGGCAACGAACAATGGGAGCAGCTCCCAAGTATGTGCTGATACCCTTTGCAAATTACAGCCAAAATTCACATCGATGAACAGAAGTGTTAAGTGGAGAAAACATGCAAAAATAACCAACTTAATCAGATTGTGCTCATGACAAATATTATACACAGACAGACAAATTGAGATAAATTGGTCCCTTTACTTAGTTCAATAAGTAAATCAGAATGCAGCCTTATAAGTCTAGAACTGAAGGAAAAGAAGGAATCAGTAATATCAAAATTCAACTTTCCAAAAAGCTAAGGTTGAATGTAGTTGGTGAATGGCGGTTGGTTATGGTGAATGGTTTCCCACAAATTAGTATTTTCAAAAATAAACAAAAAGAGAGCTACTTGGAGAATGACTTTAAATGCGAACACACAGCCTCGAGAGAACAGATTCTTACTCCCTCCATGAAATATGATTTTTCCGGTGAAAATCCTGAACCTGAAAGATTGTATATGTATATATAAGTTGTGAAAATTTATTGTCTTCCTTTGATATATAAACATATTAAATGGTGGAAGAATAGTACAAACAGATGCATCAACAATTTCAGAAAAGCACCTTGCAAAGAGCTAGACTAGAAAAAAAAATGGAAAATCAAAGCACATGCCTTTTTAAGCTTAATTAAAGAGTAAATAAATATAGAGCTCACAATGTTAATAACTATCATTCTGTCTGTAAGCAGAAGAATCTCTTTATTAGAACACTCCTATTGTTTGTTTATATGCATTAGATAGAAGTAGCACTCTCCATATCATCCAATTACAGCAAACCAATCTTTCTACTCGAAGTACCTTTACCAAAGGTGAGATCACCCAACTTACTTCAAACAAAATGAAAACTAGAAATTGTAAGGTAGAAAAGAAATGTCCCAGACAAATAAACTGATTAGTTGAAACTCAAACATTCATTTAAAATTTGACTATAAATAGGTTTATGGAAAATATACAGGAAAATCCAAATACCTATATTACTGACAGAAACCTCGTGAGCCACAGCAACAGAAACATTGAGACCCAAGCTGTTAGCAATTTCTAATACCTTGTGTTGAGCACCCAGAGGATCCACTGTCAACAAAAAAAAAGAGTAAACAAAAGCGAGAAATAATATATATCAAAACACAACTTTGCTGAACATATGATATCTTTGGATAATCACTAATAATGATGTGATACATTACATTAAATGCAGCATCAGAAAATACTTACTTGCACCCATATTGGTAATTATGCAAGTTCCTCTTTCCAAAGCCAGAGGCAGTAGCATACACATCCAGTTAGAAACTGCAGAAAAAATTTACAAATATCAAACTTGGAATAAGATTAGTAAAAACGCAAGAGCAGGAAACAAACCACCTGATCTCTTCTAATGGCTTCAACATCAAATACCTTAAGATGATATGGATAACATGTTTTCAAATAAATAGAAATTTAAGTTTCCTGTCTAAAACAGAACCGAGAAATTATACCTGCAGGTGAATTACATACCTTAAAAAAAAGTTCAGAATTGGATTATAGCACCCCAGGTGGTGCAATTTGAGACCTAGTTAGTAGATATAAACAAAATCATGAAACTCAACAATTTATTTGAACAGGAAACACCTACTCTGAGAGTCATAACCATCACCACCAGACATCATGATTTGATAACGATCAACGAGAGTACGCTCAGCCAGGCATTCCAGAACCAAATAATTTAGTTCTTGAACTCTTTGCAGCAGCTTACGAGCAGCCAAAGGCCTGTCACCACCAAACCCTGCTCCACAGCCTATGTAAACTTTATCCCTTCGCCTTTGTGGATTACTTCTCTGTAATGCAATATCAACACAGTTAATTCCCTCACTAGTTATGATGCTGCATTAGAGGAAGTAACCAAAAAGACAAGCAAAGGTAAGCAACAATAAGACAACCAGCTTGATTAAACAGTTATGGACCTCTTCTTCATCCTGGGGTTCCATCACGTCAACTGCAACATGCAGAAGAAATATTTTTCATGTAGCTCAGGTTAGAATAACATCATATTTGACAATCACAAGCCCACTTACAAATGAAGGACAAATTGATAATGATTGTGCAAAGTCCACTCAAAACAATTCAGAAATATGAAGAAAAGGATTGGTGGGTACGAGAAGGGAACAGAATGAGATTGAAATCCACAAGTGAAAAGTGCTAATTAGAATCAGATTGTGGAGTTAGTTCCTCCGTCTATGAGTCAAGGTAACATTGGTACTTACGTGCTTGAATTGACAAATAAATAATGAATCAAAATTTAGAATGAGTGTTTGCCAGCATGTTTGGATAAGATTGAATTTGGGAGAAAATAATTTTAATAAAGCATATCTAAAAGTTAATATATTAAACAATAGTTTTGAATACTACATTTATTAAAGATAATAATAGATTTAATATATATATATATATATATATATATATATATATATATATATATATATAGAGATGCTGATTTATTAAATATAATATTTACCTCTAAATTTCACAACCATTATTTTTAATCATTATTAAAAGATATTATTTTAGAGGTAAATATTTTGAAATGAAATGAGATGCTGATTTATTAAATATAATATTTACCTCTAAATTTCACAACCATTATTTTTAATCATTATTAAAAGATATTATTTTAGAGGTAAATATTTTGAAATGAAAAAAGTATATATATATATATATATATATATATATATATATATAATATCTCACTTATTTATTTTAATTCTTAATTATTATTTTAAATACATTATTACGAGTTATTTTAAATTTCAATATACGTTTAAAGTGTTTTTATTCTTAGTTATACTATTCATAAAATATTTCAAATAAATTAAATAAAATTCATATTAATACAATTTAATAACATTTTTATATAAAATATATGTTAGTAAGATGAACATCTCACCCTCTCTTTTTTTAACAAATTAAAAAAAATATTTATATATATAAATATAAATCTTAAAAGTAAATCTTTTACTTGGCCTATACCATTCCCTAAATAATACGTACTTATAATATACCTATTAAGAAACTACAAATTAAAATACTCGATTAACCTTCAAACGAAAATCAGTGTAAAATTGATTTATAAATAAGATAATCTTCCAAATAATGATTATTATTACTGTTTATCGATTGTACTTATTCTTTAAATTATTTTTTCGAGTCTTGCTATGTAATAAATATTTAAATATTTTAATTTTTTTATTTTTTTCAATTTCATCTCATTATTATTTTTCGTGTTAATTTGATTTGTTTTAAAATAAATCAAGGTGCTTCATACACAACTTTATTAAATTAACTAACAAAAGTATTTTAATTAACAAAATGGATCTCATTCATTCTTTCACTTTAAAAAAATAACCAAATTAACATTAACTACTGTGGTGGGATGAAATGAAAAAATAAAAATAATATAAAAAAATAATTTACGTAACAAATATTTTAATGTTACTTTTCTAATATAAGCATTTAAATTTTTTGAACAACTGTAAGCATAAAAAGCAATTCATTTTGTATTTGGCAATATAATGCATGTTAAATGCAAAAATTTCAACAAAATGCAATTTAAATGTCCTTTTGTCTTGGCAATTTTGTAGCCTATAAAATGTTATCTTAACTAAATTGTGCAACCAACCACATCAAAAACAAAATTTTCAAAAATTTATTTCACAATCTTATTTTACTTCTTCTTCACCATGGCCAAAACACAATAAGACATGAGAGAGAAAAAAAAAAAGTGATTACATTTATTGGTTTAGATCAAAGCAGTGAGTAGATAAATAGGAGGGTGAGAAGGAAATGAAAGAAAAAGAAGAAAGTGAATAAATATGAATGTGTAAGAGACAACATGACCTAAATACGAAGGAAATAAACTATTGTCCCTTCTTTTTACTCTCCCAGTATTCATCTTCCCAAGTTTCTACCTGTTTTATTGAGTTAGTTTTTTTGTCTAGAAAGTCTTGCAGGGTTGTGGCATCATATGGAGGAGGAAGAGTGCATGGATTTGAATGACTGGGAAACTTCACCATTGAATCTTCCATGAACCTTCTCTCTGTACCATTTAAAGGACATGCCATTGTTTCAGGACAATACTCCACAGCATTTGGAGGTATAATTGGTTTGAACTTTAGGAGTTTTGCATATTCATTTAGCACGTGAAACATGTAATCATATACATGGTCCATATCCATGTCCTCATGAATGAATCTGCTTGCAGCCTCCCCTATTGCTTGTGCCTGCCATATTTTAATGAATATTTTTTTTAATAGACATCTAAATAAATCCACCAATAAGTTTTTTTTACACGTATTTTTTTAAAATATATTTTTATGAATAATTTTCAAGTTTTTATTTATTAATTATTGTTTTTATTAAATAAATTTAAAAATTATTATATTTATATATCAAAATAACTAATCATAATTAATAATTTAAATTTAATTAATTAATTAATTTTTATAATTTAAATAATAATATTATAATAAATTTATATGTTTTAATACTATAATAAAAAAATATAATTTTTTTAATATATAAATTTTTTTTTAAAGTGAACCAACTCTCCTATCTTCTTTTGTCTTTGACATAACAAACCAAGAAAGAAGGATAAAACTATCAATTCGTAACATTTTTTAGAGAAACTGACTCTTGAGACGAATCCCATTTGCCATTATCAACAAAACCAAACCCTAACCTTATCAGTGTGGTTGTTGCCCCATTCCACTGCAAACTTAAGAGAAGTGCACTTGGTGTTGTCTCTAATGGGCCAATAGTGCTCCAGTGGGACCATGCCTCGGATGAAAAAATCATGAAAGCGAGACCTGACATATAGGTTTGTAGAATCGCAGGCCAAAATGTACTTCTCACTTACGGACCAAGCCCAACCTTCTACATATATTTTATACCTGTCCCAGGCCCAACATGAAATTCATATAATAATTTTACAATAAATTATTATTAGATTAAAATTGTATTGAATCGTACCTGTAGGTGCATTGGTCCCCTAAGTTGGATTGCTTGAAACCTTGTTGGGATTCTTTGTCCCAGTCCTGTGACCAAAACATATGTAAAAAGTATATAAAGTTTCCGTTTTTAAGGTGAATTAGAGAGCAAAGAATTGATAAAATAAAACAAAAACCTGAATGTATAGGTGAGTGTTCCAGTCATTTTTGTCAGTGACATTGCATGTCATAAGGTTTTTCCTGGTTGGAGTGACAAGAGGGTTACCCTTCCAATAGGCATATGGCACTCTCTCCTTCCACTTTGTCTTCTTGTTCCCATTTTTAATATCTTCCAACACAAATTTCCATGGCCTTATGTTTATCTCAGCCCTATTATAACAAATTGTTTTACGATTCAGGAATTTTAAAATTCTTATTCTACTCTATCAACGTCATTTCTAAATATTTATTTTGGTTACTATTTCATTTTTGTTTACGTAGATGAAGAAGAGAGGTTAGTTTTGAGCACTCACCATCCCCAAAAGGACCAATCAGGGAACACAATATCGAGGCTCCACTGGTCGGAGCAATACCGAAACAACGGTGGAGCGGCAGCATCTGGGCCTTCCATCCTTCCCTTTGGGATAACGGGCCGGTCATCACAATCAAACAAGAGCTCCAAATCAGGCATTTTACCGGGATACATCCTCAGGAGTTGCAAGATGCCCCACAGAGTGAACACATCTCTGGTTTGGATCGACTTCCTATACTTCTCCACGTACACCCTCCCGTCCACGATCACTACCCTGAAGTGTGCCGTTCTCCTTGCACCCTCCAACATTTCCCGCGTTATCCCTCTCTCTCTCCATGCCTTTAGGTCTTCGTGGATCCACTTGAAGTAGGAGGGGCACGTGCGTGTGGGGGTGCTAGGGTTGTGTGATGTGGGGTACCCTCTAGGGCACGTCTGTGGCACGTGCGCTTGGGTGCATTCAAGTGGGAACTCTTGTTCTTCGCCTTTGGATGTTGCCATGGGAGAGAGGGTCTTCTTCATTGGATTGGAAAACCCTGAAAATGTAGACTTGAAGAAAAAATTACCATGTTAAGTAAGCTCTTTCTCTTCTATTATTCAATCTTTTATTTACTTTGCAGAGAATGGAATGTACTTTACAGTGTCGAGTTTCCTTGATTTATAAAATTATTCACCTTCTGCTACTTTTAGATACATGGGGATAAAAAATGCAATCTGTGCGATTTTCGAAAGATGAAAATTTTGCCCAAAATAATCAATATTTATAAACGTATATGGGTAACAAATTGTCAAATAAGAAAAGGATTTTCATTTTTTAGCATGCAAAATTCTGATGAAAGATGTGAAGTTCTAATTTTCGTGGGTAAGAAAATGTTTTAGTGTCATAAAAAATATTATCTTTTCTATGAGGATTTAAGATTTTCAGAGCATAAAAATTCTCTCTATACTATCCTAAAAGTTGATTCGAATGATAAAAATTCTGACTAATTTGTATACACTTCTTTAATTATAACTCGCAAACATTCACATTAAAAAGTATATATAATGAACATGAAATTTAAAAGGTTTTAAAATATCTATAAATGATTTGAAGGCAAAGAAAAACATGTGGTTGAATATAAATCTGAAAACAATATACTAAACTAGATTCTAGTACCATGTAAAAATTTGATGTCAGATCAATAATTAAAAATTATTCAGGAGATAAGAGTTATGTATAAATTTTTTTAACTACATCAATGTCTCTCTACAAACATGTATACATATAATAAGAAACAAAAACAAGATATATATAGTTCTTGAATTTGAAGAATAGAACATGAATTTGCATGGAAAACACAGATGCAGAAGCTATAAGTATATATTTGAATTTGCATGACTCACTGTAACATTCCAGACAGTGAAAGCAAGGAAAGTGGCTACAACGCAACCCATCACAACCACTGTTGTTCTGTTTTTGCCCTTCTTCGACAACAGACTCAGTTTCTGATTATTCGAACGCCCCCAGAAGAGCTTCAGATATGCCTCGTTGTCCTTGTCCATGTCGAAATGCTGTTTCATTCGATTTCAACGACCAAGACCCTTCAATTCTCGTAGCTTTTGAAGCTCTGTGTGTGTTGTTCAATTGGTTTTCACCTCAGAATAATAACACTAGAAGATGTTGAATCATGGATTTTCATCTCAGAAACTGTGTTTGTTGGTTTCTGTAGCTACGCTTCAGAGGGAGAAGGGAGTGTGCGAGAGGAAGAGGCGAACATTGGATGTATACTGAAATTGAAAATGTTCCTCTCAAATAGTCAAAGTTTGAATTTGATCATCAAATAAATGTTATAATTAACATCAAGTTTTTTTTTTCTTCTTTTTCTCAGATAATTATCAATTAGGACTCTGATTACCACTACAAAAGGAAACAATTATCTTCTGTCAATAAACTTAAGGAAATATTGAAGTCTTAAATGGAAACAAGATTTAAAGAAATGATATTATGAATTATATTAACAACATGTTAGCCTTTACAGACAAGATTTATCTTATGTAATTAAAATTATAATAAATATATATTTTAATATTTAAATTCTATTTTAATCTATCAACACAAATTTATTTTACCATATTTTGAATATAGTTTTTAATAGACCTGATCCGAACCAATACACTATTTTGATCTATTTCAACAAAAATAAAATAAAAATTACCTTGAAATAAAAAAATTAAGACTATATTTTTATAATTTTAATTATATTAATTAAATTAATTTTAATTGTAAATATATATCAAATTAATCAATTTTCTTAAACTCGTTTACGTATTGTGGGTTAAACGAAAATATATATTTAATTTAAATTAAGTCATTTAGTTGACTTGACTTACTTTTTGAACTTTTCATATCCAAACTCATTTTGATAGTTATATTTGAATGACATAGTATTACACAATTCTTTATGCTTGTATCCAAATACTTCTTTTATTTTTTAACCCATGTAAATCAGTATACTTTAGTATAAGTGTGCACTAAAAATTTATTTTTTATTATTGTTTAAAATAATAGTTCATAATTTTTTTTTTACAATATACATCTATATTACATGGATTTATTTCTCATAGTGTAATTTAATGTATGAATTATGGATGAGACGAATATTGTTATTATATATTATGAAAATAATTTAGTTTAAGAAAAAGTATATTTTAGAAGTTTTACTCTTTTTAGCAGAGAGAAAAGGGAAGAGTATTTAATTAAAAACTAAATATTATGATGGAAACATGAGATTTGGAAGAGTGGTTCTATTTTAAACCATTAGTACGCTAAATTGGGGAAAGAAAAGGACGTAGATGAAGATAGAAGAGAAAGAAAAAAAGTTTGTTAATCGTAGATGACAAGTAAAAATATTGAGGAGAATATTGAGAAAGAATTGTTTATAATTTATGAGTTTACTAATAAGAAGAAAGAAGATGTGTGACGGTAACTTGTTTGTAAAGGTTTTTCCACGTTCATGCCCGTTGTTTGCTCCTCACTTCTAATGGCCTAATTTTCCAACTTTTCGATGTTTGTTTTGATCTCACTTTCTCCGTGAAACACACATTAGATTTAGAGGTAGGAAGGGTGGATTGGAAGAAAAAAAAAATGAAAAAGTCAACTTGATTTGATTAATATGTTAATGCCAAACTAGGTAGCAAAGTCTAGTTGAAAGTGGTGAGTTACTTAAAAAATAGGCCAAACTATTAGGCCTCTTATAGTAATAAAATGTATTAAAGCATTATTAAGTTATGGCTATGGCCTCCTCTCTAGTTCAGATACCACGTGCTTACTTTCAATTTCAAAGTAGAATTCAATCTCCAAAATCCTAACCACTGCGAACCTAGCTCCCATTTTAATCCCAGATTAATGCAATATGTTTACGAATTCATATCATTTAAAAATTAATTAACTCGATATTATCATAACATACATAAAATTAAATCATTCTTATTTTAAAACGAAATATTAACACCTATCCTAGAAAATCAAATCTCCCTCTAATCATATTCTTTAATCTTCAATTAAAAACTTAAGTTTTAATTTTATCCACTACAATTCTCCTTTTAAAAATGTATTAATAAATTAAGAAAAAAAATTGTATATAAACAATTTTTTACCTTATTTCTTAAACAATATACGATTTATGAGCATACTAAAATATTAATATATTTTAAAAAAATTCATATATGAAAATTTTAATATTTTATATTAACTATGATCATATTAAATTTTACTTGGCATTCTACCAAAAAGTTATTGAATAATATAAGCATTTAATTTTCACATGTAATATGTGACAAGAATTTTTGAAGAATAAGAAGTCAGCTTCAATGTCCTGTGTACCGTCCTAACCGGGCGGAGGACCACCGCACGATGAAGCTACAAAGGATAGGTGGATACCATTTTTTGTATTTTTTTTTTTAATTTATTGTTTGACAGGAATGTAGAGTAACAGACAATAACGTGCACCAAACTATGAAGAAATTAAGCAAAAGACAAACAAAATTGAATTTTGGGACATCAACATCAATGCAGAGTCCATGTGCCATTTTCCCAAGGTTTCGTACAAGGTGGTCCAATTGAGCTACATTCGCAATTCAATTCACATACCTTAGACAGGCAATTAGAATTAATTTTCTGAAATGGGGAATGCCTCACAACCTAAGGTCTTCAAGAGCCACTTGTTAAAAGGTTGATTCCCTTTGAAAATTTTGGAAGCCAAATTATATTCTTCAGCTCCATCCTGCAAATCATTAATCATGCATAACAATTAGGACATGACATCAATATGTGTTGAGCTCAAGACTTTAAGACCCATAAAACAAGACAATTAGACCATCAAAATGAAAAAGAGAATGTGAAGAACATCAACAATACCTTAAGTTCTCGGTAGGTAATCCCATTGGCCAGAGACCTCGTCAAATTTTCCTGTCTCAGCAGTGACAAGAAACCCTCCAACACCCTCTTTCTGCAAAATTCATATTTATTACCTCCTCTGGTCTTTTAAATAAGAAACAAATGGGTAAAATTAATTAAATTAACTATTTTTATTGGTCTTGACAAACTAGTTACTTGTTTCTATTGGGTTGGAGGTAGTGATAACTGTAATATTATTGGCGCTTCACAAGTAAAATTTCTACTACATACATGTCAGCTCAGCAGCACTCACTTGCATAAAGATGACTGTGTGGATGGATAGAGTGCCCCTTTTGCGGAGGTGCCTTGCTTTCTTCCGGTGGTTCCCAGGATGACTTCATGCAAGCCACATTCATTCCAACATATAGAATATCTGCAATGCTAATCATTCAGCTAAATGCAACACCGATGCAGAAAGCTGCATTAACTTTACAATTTCCAACATTTGCTGTATGTACCCGCATGTTAAAGTGTTGGCAGCACTCTCAGATTGCTGAAAGTCCTTTGGTGGTACTGGTGCAGCGTGAAATATTGGCTATGGAACGACAAATGACATAAAAGTCAGTATCCTACAACGCACTTTTCTTTCTCTCTAAGATAACAAATATTCCACAGACCTGGTTCACTATAAACGGGGATGTCAGTTCATTCGATATGGGCAGGATACGTTCATATAAAGCTCTTTTCAAGTTATCCTCTAAATGAAAATTCTCAGGACTGTTAAGGGGAAGACCAACAGTGATTGAAGAAAGATATACAGGTTGAAGAAAGTAGGAAAGTAATGCTCCTGCAATAAGAACAGTGTCAAAACACTTAGCTTACATGACAGGAATACAACCAAACCAAACCACACTATTCTAATTCATGTTCATATCCATATATCTAACACTATCACACCAACACAAAACTCTAATTTTCATGTTTTCAAAATTGACTAAATTGTTCTGTGATAGATAGCCTATGATATACCTGAAAGCTCAATGTTGTGTTTACAATCAAATTAGAAATTTAGGCCCTAGTAGTATAAAAAAAGCAAAAGATTTATGGAAAATAAATAAGTGAATATAAAACAAGTATAAAAATCATATAGCCAAGTTGATGTAGAATATTTACAATTATACAAACAATAAAAACCTCAATTTCCTTGATCTTCCCTTTGCTGTATTAAATTGTTGTTGTAGAAAAGGAGTATATAATTTATAAATATCACATCACAACTGATTTTCAAGCAAGAACTACCAACATGCAAACATCCCTGGTTTAAGCATATCTAACCTTGAACACCAACTACATTCCAACGAGCTATCTTGTCAGAGCAACTAACTGACAGGGTTGTATCACCACGACCTGGCTTCCTCTGGACCATCCCATGTTGTTGTAAACCGTTATCTGGAATTAATGACAAAAGTATTTCTCCTCAGACGGTCAGACCAAAATAAACAGCAGCAACCTTTCAATGATGAATATCCATGAAGTATAAAATATCACCATACATCAAAATTTGATAAGAATTGCAATCATAGACCAATGATTGATGTATATAGAACGAAAGAGAGTTCAGCACATATATTTGCTAATAAAAAAGTTCTTCGGTGCTCTAAACTTTTATTAACTCATCTGTCTCTAAGATTCCTCTAGGCCTTAGCCATTTGAACAATTTATAATTTACACATATAATGTTAACTGTAGTAAAACTTAACCATGGAAACGAATAGCCTACCCAAAGGTGAAGCTGAATCTCTTTCTCCTAAAGGAACACTTTCCAAAGGAGAGACAAGCGAACTCAGTGAAGCATCGCCACCTATAAAATGGAACACAAATGGCAATCACCCTTGAACCTAACCAACATATACTGACAAATACAGGAGGAAAATTGATGATTAGAGAGAGTGAAAGGGACAGAGATATCAATTACATGGTAACTGTGATATGTACATATGTAATTTCCAATCCTTTCTCAAAGTATATTTTCCTTTTTTAAGACACCCTGTATCCAACTCAAATGGCAAGTTACCATCATCAAGTTTGAACCGTTTGCCTCCATTGGTAGGCGCATGCTTACTACTAGTTTCAGTAAGATGTTGAATCTGTGTATACAAGAACCTGGTGTGAATAGAAACAAATGAAATAACATCTCCTCACATAGCAAGACATCATATTAAGAACAAAAACTTATATACATTTTCATTGGTATTGTTTGTATACTATCAAATCAGAATAGGAGTTTCACCACTAGAATCTACAGAATTCTTTAATGTAAACTTTTTTGTCACGCAAATAATCTGGCATAAAACATCATTTCTAATTAGAGAACATTACAAACAACCTAAATATTTGTATATAAGTTTTAACCTTATCATTCATCACACAGAGTAGTAGTACCCATCATTACAATTTTACAGAACTTAAGTAAAATGTACTGCAATAGCATATAGCAATGAGCATGACGCAAAGACATATCTACACTATCGATATTCAAACTGACATAGTAATGGATATAAAAAAATGTTGCATAATTATGATACAAATGAAAAAAGGGCTAAAAAAGACAAAGCAATTTAAAAAAAGATAGGAATGAACCTCATCAAAGCTCTTCGAGCAATGACTTCAGCATGCGAATCATGAACAACATCACCACAAGTTCGCAAGAGAGAACGCCCAATGCACTTTGTTCCCGTTCCCATAGCAACAATCTTCAAGTCTTAAAAGAAAAAAAGAAAAAAAAAACATAAATAATTGAATCCCAACCCGAAGCCAAGCTTTTATTCTTCTATTATTTAAGATTAAAAAAAAAAGTTAAACTTGGTTAGTGGGTGATTGTCGTGATGAAAGAGAAAGAAGATAACCATTGGAAGGAGAAGAGAGAAGGAAAGCAGCGATAACGGTGACTTCACGGCCTTGAGGTTTGCCCTTTTTGGGAAGAGAAGCGTAGAGAGAAAGAACCTTTTCGGATACCCTTCGACCCCAATTACTTTCCTCTGAAGATGAAACTGAAGACGCCATAGACAAGGTCGAGGTTCACCAACTCAGTGCAGTGACGCTGTACTCTGTACGGTGACTATGCTAATCAGAGAAGAAAACCCCGAACAACTTTTATTTAAATTTAAACCTCTATTTTTAATTATTAATGAAATGTTAATGTTAATTAATTAGTTTATGCTAAGAAAAAAAATCTCTATAAGTAAAAAAAATTTAATGAAAAAATCTTTCTTGAATTATTAAAAAAAGGAAATAGAATTTTATTTATACATATTTTTTTTAATCATCGATTGATGATTTATGTTAATAATATCACCATGATTTATATTTTGTTGGCTTTTAATATTATTTAAGAATTAAAATTAAGGATAGTTTATATATATTCTTTAATATATTTTTTAAAAATAAAATTGTAATTAACGATCACGTTGCATCTTAGATATAAAAATTTAAGTGAAAAAAGAAACTTTACATTAATTAAAAATATTAGTTGTTGTAGTAAGACTAAAAATGATTATTGTGGTTATCAACTGATAATAACAGTGTCTATTATTAATAATAACTTGTCAAGAATGATTCATTTTACGTCTTTATGCATTCATTATTTTATTGCAGGTTTGTTTTGGTGTACATATTAAGAGTATGTGCCCCTCCTTTATAATATACTATTTTGCATTTTCAGTTGATAAATATTATTCATCATAGTTAATTTAACAAACCCTTACAAATATTTTAATTTCTATATATTTGATTAATACAATTTATTTTTGAGTTTTAATTTGTTGCTTCTCGTGTTTAGAGTTTAGTTTGGAATTTTATCATAACTAGATCAAAAAGATTAATTAGGAAATTGATGAATATTGGTGTAGTGCTTAATCTATTAGAATTACAAAATTAACTTTCAACTGTACTGCTAAAAAAAGTAATTAAATGACTAAAGATAACTAATAATAATAATATTATTATGATTATTGTAGAAATTTTTTATGTAGTTTTTTTTTATATTTTCTGATTTTTCAATATATTTTATTAAATATTTATAAAAATTGGTTAGATAAATATAAAAATAAATAATGAACTAAAACAAACAACAAAGTAATAAATTAGCCTAATTAAACAAATTTCAAATAATAAACAATTTAAAAACAAACTAAAAAACAAATTCAATTCCACACTAATGGAGCAAGAAAAGTGTTAGAGAAGCTTCTACAAGGTTATGTTTGGATTAGGGTAAAGATTTAAAGGAATGAATTTTAAGATGATTTGAGTGGATTTGTGGAATTATTTGGATTAAGAGAAAAATAATAGATTTAAAAAGATGTAAATGAAGTTATTATATTTAATATAACTTAATATAAAATAATTAAATAATAATATTTTTAATATAACGATCAAATTAACCTATGAAATAAAATATTAATATAAATAAGAAAAATTAATGAGAATAATTCAGATATTTATTATCTAATTATCCTTTTTTTGTATTGTTTCTCCCCATTTTGTGATCAACTCCTTAAAATCTACTCCAAGAAGAATAAACTAACTGATATCCTCGTAAATTTCCTCCTTCAAATCTTCTATTAACTAAATCAGCAAACAAAATAATATATAAAATAAAAATTATGATTAAATTGATAGTATATAATAATATAAAACAAAATAAAATTCACAATTTAAATGATGAAAAACTTATTATAACAATAATATTTGATTAAATTTTAAAAGAAAAACTTTTCAAAGGAAAAAAAGATAAGGAGGAACAGGATGATGGGTAAAAAAATGAAAAAGAAAAAGTAAAAACTTAAGTAAATAATGAAAAAGATATAACAGGTTATATTTTAATTTTTTAATTATTATAACAATAAATAATAAAAAAAAAATAATATTTAATATTTAATTATGCTTATGGAACCAAACAGAAACAGTAATGCAATAAGTCCCATCCATATTTTATACCTAAAATGTCCGCATGCTCTTTGCCTGCCAGCATATGGTTATTTAATTATTTTTTCTTAATTTTAATCACAATAATTTTTGCATAACTACATGAAGAAGAATTGTTATGATAATAAATATAATCAGTTTCATTTAATTTATTTGTGGTTGTGAAAATACAAACCAGTGTTTACATGAATATTCATAGATGAAAATTTATATATTAAAATTAATTTATATTTAAATCTATCATATATATATATATATATATATATAGGACCTATTTTATTTATATTTAAGCAAAAAAAATGCAAATGATAAAAGTAAGAGTGTTTTAAATTAATGTTTTATGTTTATTTTAAAAATTTAAAAACTTATTTAGTATCTGTTAAATCAGTTTTTTAAAATTATTTATTAATTATTTTTAAAAATAAAATTAATATAATATACTTTTATGGGTGATATTATTTATATTTTCATCAATCTAATATATATTTTCTTTCATTGATAAAAAATATTAAATTTATTTTCTATTTCCTTTTGTAATTATTTTTCACGTTGATATTATATTTTTTTATTTAAAATTATTTTATAATTAATGTTATTAATTATTTTTAAAAATTAGAAGAGGAAAACTCTAATTATATTAAATTTCCTAATCTTATTATTTGATATTATTTTTAAAATAAAAAATTATTAATATATATATATATACACATATTAATTTATCATTTTTTTAGTAAATATTATTACCACATGTTATAAATCTCGTATCACTTAATAATTAAGATTAAAAATAGTTTATATATATTTTATTATCTTAATCTATTAAGATATTTTTAAAAAACAGAATCATGAGAAAAAAAAATTCACGTAATATCTTTAACATCAAAATTCATCCAAATACATAAATATTCATCGCATTCTCTCCATGGGAGGCCCCTCTGACTATGCACTTTGAATAAAATTCATTTGCCAATTTCGGAGCTACATTCTGTCTTTCTTGGATACCCTTTCTCATTAATTCTCCATACTTACATATTCACTCTTTATTCATCTACTATTATTATACCCCTTCTCCACATAAAACAAACTAAATTCAATTATTTTTACTTTATTTAATTATAATTTTCTTAAAATATCTTTCTTTTTTATCAAAAGTTAATTTATTTATATAATTTCGTGTAAACAGAATCCGATGACATCACTTGTCACTGATCTCAAAGTGGTGCCACGTCAATGAAAATCTAAGGTGGGACCCACCAACCGAGGACGAATAAGACTCTCCCTCAATAATACACATGACACATGCGCCATTCAATTCATTCAAACAGATCAACTCCATTCATCTTCGTTTATGCATACGTGGCTACCATTTACCTGTATTACCTGTCGGCACTTCACTTCCACCGCACGATCAAACCACGCCGTCAATCAACGCCTCCACACGGATTCCACGCTTTCACTACTTGTCTTCACCAAGTAACCACAAAATTAGTCAAGTAATTATGAATTATTAGTCCCTCATATCACTCTTCTAATTACTTTTTAACGACTTAACTTAATCATTTTGTTTCAATTTATCTAGTAATTTTCATTTCAAGACACGAATATGTGACTATATTAAATTAATGTAAATTATTATGTACTATGGTATACTAATATGATCGATGATGTTACATGTCTGAAGCAGTAATTTCACTATTTGAATTTTGTGGCACTTTAAATTCAAAGCCAGTTCCAGTTCCAGTTCAAGAGGCACGCCTTGTTTATCGGAACCGTTGTTACATACAAACGTTGCTGTTTTTTGATAAACACGCGACTATCTAACGTTCTATCTGTCACTGAAACAATCTTCCAACCTATGGCAGAGCTCCAAACCAAGGTTGAACCAGCTTCGGTTCCGGCTCCGCCTTCTGTGGAACCCGAACCTCCGCTGGCTGTGGCGCCTTCGCTTGACGCTCCTGACAAGAAAGCGGTGGCGGTGCCACCGCCTGCTCCGGCGGAGGAAACCAAAGCTCTTGCTGTTGTGGAGAAGGAGAAGGAGAGTGAGAGTGAGTTTTTGTTTTTTTTTTTTTGGTTGATTGAAGTTTCGAACTTTAGCTTTCTTTGAATCATGGGTTGCAGTCAAAATCCAACTTTTGCAATTACATGATGAGAAAACGATGGCAAGATGAAGGGACATGAATAGTGTTTGTAAATTGTATGACATGATCTGGTACATGGTTTATTTGGTGTTGTTGATTGAGTTTCTCTTTTTGTTTCTATGCATATAGTTTTTCTTTTCTTTTTTATCAAAAGTTTTTGTAATCGATCTGTTTCTATTCATTCCTGTTCAAGTTTCTCTGCCGTACTGCTTTGTGCTTCGTTTTGGTACTGATTGGTCTCCATGGGAATGATCGTCGTTTGTCATGAACTTTGCAGCTTTTCGTGATTGACTTGTCTGGTTTTGGTTAGTACTCTTGTAGAGAGTTGACTGTGATGTTTGTGACTGTTCTTGATTCTTCTTTGGTTTCTTAGAAAGCGTTGGAAAATGGGAAATGAAAGGAAATAGAATTAAAGATTTACGGCTATTGGTTTTTACTAATTTCTAACTTAACAATCCCTACTAAGTTGCTGTTGTTTCTTCACATCTGTGTTTTGTTTTGTGATCTTGTTCGCTCTTTCATCAAAGATTTATTAATTTGATTTTCCACTTCCATTGTTCCTTTGAGAGCAGGATTGTGGATGGGAAAACTTCACTTTGTATGCAAGTTCTAAGAATAGTTTTCCTCACTTATTTGACTCTGTTCATGGCTCTCCCACCAGTGTTGCCTTTCAATAATTAGATGATATGAGTATGCTTTTTTCATGTGCCTTCTTCATGGGGTAACCTCAATTTCCTTTTCTATTGCAAAAGTTGGCTCCACACATTCTTTATGCTTAGTATAGAAGCATAATTGTTTATCTACTTAGCTGTACTAGTTTATGCATCAAGCTAACTGAGCTGTATATGTAGCATATACTTTTCTATTGCAATCATTTATACATTTCTTACTAGGATCCACTGCTATACTAAATCAAGTTTTTTCAACAAATCATGTTAATAATTTCTTGTTCTATACGTTAATGCATAATATATTCCCTGTCCCAGTAAATTAGGTCCTCCGAGTTATCATGAAATACTGTCCCCCATGTTGTGATGAAAGGTCTTTTTCCACTTTGGCTAATGATGCTTTGATTAACAGGAAAAGTTATTCTATTTTTTTTTTCCAGCTGGCTTTCTTTAATTTAAAGCAGATAATGGGAAAGTGCGCATCTTAATTAGAATCTGATAATAAAAACCAGCCTGTAATATTTAACATTGATGCAATTTTACCTTTGAGATCATTCCCTTTCTTGACCATTTTTCTTTTGGGCTACAGAGACCCCACCAGAACCTGTAAAAAAGAAGGCCACAGGTGGATCCCTTGATCGAGGTTAGTGTTAGACTTCTCTCATATTTAACTTTTACATTGGCTTGTTTATTTTTTTAAACTTGATTAACATATGATGCTTTTTCAAGTTGAGATAAACCATCTAGTTCCTAGACACATTGCAAATGTACATGCATGGATTTCTAGCTCGTATACTTCGATATATATCTTCCTTGTAACATGAATGTATATGCTGAGACTAACTTCTGCTAAGCAACCTCTTTCCAAATATGCTTCCTAGTGATGATTGTGGACCAATTAATTTTTCTGCGTAACACATATCTTCCTTAACAAATCACTGATGCAATTCTATGGTGTACAGATATTGCTCTTGCAGAAATAGAGAAAGAGAAAAGGTTGTCTAATGTGAAGGCATGGGAAGAAAGTGAAAAATCCAAAGCAGAGAATAAGTAAGCCTTTATTTTAATTTCGCTGGTAAAACCAAACCAAGTTACATTGCAAAAAGAACCGTCTCTGGAAAAATACAGAACCTATCAACTAATTTCTGTGTTGATAAGGTTTGCATGGCACAATAATCGTCAGTCCACACCTTCATAAGTTCATATGATTCAATACTAATGAAGCTTATATTTAAGATGTGGCTTTCCATAAGAAAAATGTTTAAGATGATTTTGTAAGCTATAGATTTGAGGATTTTTTTATGGCTTGTGTCTTCATGTTCAGTTTTTCCTGAACTCATAGAAAATTTCATGTTGACAGAGCCCAAAAGCAGCTCTCTGCTGTTGCTGCTTGGGAAAACAGCAAGAAAGCAGCTCTTGAAGCTCAGCTGAGAAAAATTGAGGTAACACTTGTTGTTCAGTTATTGGTTAACACAATGACTTATATTTTTCTATTATTCATGATATCATCATGCATGGTGGCACTGCACAGAAGAACACTTCCTTTTTAAAGTTGTAATTTTAAACAACATAATCAAGATAAGAATGACAACATAAAGTAAGAATCTATGTTGTCCTGTGTTACATGGAATAATATATATAAATAAATACATGCTTCTGTTAACACAAAATATATCTACATAGATTTTTTTATCCAACAAATTCTCTCTTTATCCACCAAACATGTGGAACCTTTATCCAATTACTCTCTTGCTTTTGTCAAAATGGTATCAAATATCTATGGCTTCCCTAATTGAATCCTTCTACCTAATGCTTTTCTTAAGAAAATGAGCAACTATAGTCTGAAATGTAGAAAAGTTAATACTTTTTTTTTATAGATAGGGCCATATCCATGTCATAGGTTCCCTATCTCTTTCAATCATAAGAATACAAATAGTGTCTCAAAAAACTCCAAATTTGACAGCACAAGTTAAACATGGCTTCTCCTAGGAGGGGACCCCTTTGCTTCCTTCCATTCAAATGATCACTCTAAAAAGGAAAAATATTTTTCAACACAATTACGTGTAAAGATTTTTATATTATTAACTAATTAAAAAATGTTTTAAATATCATTTAAGAAATCACTTCAAAAGTCAACAATTTTACTATAATTGATAAATTAAGATGGGATACCCTAAAATCATACCAAGCATAAAAATGATTAAAAATTGTTTGATTGGTCAAAAATATTTTAAAAAATATTCAATAATTTTTTACTAAAAACATTATTTTTTTACTACATAAATGTTCTAATAAAAATAAGGTAGTATTTTTTGTATATAGCAAAACTTTTATTTGGATTTAAGAAATGTAAATTCCCATTCTTATGCATAAAAATAATTGTTAGAAACTTGACTAATAACCATTTTCTGATTTTTTTTTTCCTTTTAAAAACTAAATCAAACATGGTAAATAAATTTTCTCAAGTTTAAATTTTGAAAAAAAAAAAAACTTATATTAAATGCCCCATTAGTAATGTAAATTGAATGAAGTAGATTCACATAAACATACAAGTATTCAAGAGTACATTAAACTTTTTAACACTCTGATCATGTTTAAGCAGGAACAACTAGAGAAAAAGAAGGCAGAATATGGTGAAAAAATGAAAAACAAGATAGCCTTAGTTCACAAGCAAGCAGAGGAGAAGAGAGCAATGGTTGAAGCCGTGCGTGGTGAAGAAATTCTCAAAGCTGAGGAAACGGCTGCAAAATACCGTGCAACAGGAACCACTCCAAAGAAGGCTTTTGGATGCTTTTAATTTTTATTCTTTTTTCTCTGTGCTTTTGAGTTTGATCATGTTGTAGCAATAATTAAATTTTGTCTATAATTTTTCTTGTTTGCTTTCAAATGTCGTTTGCGTGTGTATGAAATGAAAAGGGAAACATTATGAAGTTTGTGGAATACAGGAGAACCTCTAGATCCTTTTGCTAAGATGAAGTGTTCTGCTCTTTATTTATTCATCTGGTTTTGGAGTTAAAATTTTGATCTAATTTTTTAATGTTTAAAAAGTTTAAATTAGTTCTTAATATTATAATTTTCTGACAAAAAAGAAATTTAATTTATTATTAAATTGATCTCTGTAATTTGTATAGATACGATGTTTTCAATTGGTTGAGTTCAGAACTAGCTTCCATAACATATCCATTAAACTCTAATCATATTTCTGCAATGTCATCAATTTCTAGTTCATCTTCTCACACACTAAGTCTACAAAATAGCCAATAAAAAACTACATGTCAGCATATGAACATGATACATGCACTAAAGGGCTGGTGGATCATTCTAAGAAGCTCATGTCATTGTTTATAGGGAAATCTAACAAGAGCTGCAATGAAGTGTCACACGAGTCTTCTTCTAGTTCACTAGAGCTGGATGAATCTGAGGCAATTTTCTTGCTACCACCCCACACCAAATCCTCTTTCGCAACAACGTTTGCAGGGTTGGAAGCGAAATATGTGGTGGTAGTAGCAGACAATGACCCTAGAGAAATGGGACTTTGGCAGCTACCTTTGTTGTCTGATTTGTGCACATCACGAAAGGATTGTCCAACTTCAGAGTTCCACATTCGGAGGAAGTAGTCAGAGTCAGTTTTGTTGGTGTTGTTGAACAAATGGGGATCCCTTGAGAGCCTGGCCTCTGCTTCAAGCCTAGCACTCTCCCACTGGGCCATGTGGCGGGTTGAGCTGGATGCTGCATGGGCCTTGTCATTAGGGTTGCGTGAAGAGGACAGTGGCTGGTGGGTTTGAGGGTCAAGGCCCATGCAAATGAGACGTTTCTTCAAGTGGGTGTTCCATAAGTTCTTGATCTCATTGTCTGTTCTTCCTGGTAGCTGAGAGGCTATAGCAGCCCACCTGTTAATTGATTCATTGGTTACTCATGAAATTAGTAAATCATGATATCCATTACCATTATATATATCACATGTTGAGTTATTAATTTCTTGAAAAACTTGGATACATGTCAAATAAATATAACTATATGTGATAGTCTTATTAAATTACTTAATAATTTATCTGAAATAAGTACATGGTCTTGTTATTAACTATAATGAATTTTGAAAATATAATTGGAGTCCACCAATGATGGTACTGCTGCTCTTATGCAGATGGTCCAAGATGTCTTTCATTGGGATTGAAGAAATAAATGCATGTAAAAAATAGTATTAAATAAAGAACCTGTTAGTAATGGACTTAATATACTGCTTTGTTTATATTAGTCTCTGTTTGACAGTGGTTATTACATCTAAAGTTTCTCAGTCAAATTTAGTTTTATGGATTAATCAGACTAATCAAATGTACATTTAAGAACTAACTTGATTGACTTTTTAGGTGCAATGAAACATCATTTAGGGGTTAACAAAAAAAACCATCATTCATAGGACATGTTTTCTGGTTTCAAACAAGCTTACTAATTACACAAGACTTTCTCATTTTATTTTTATGCAAGCAGCATTAAAATTTGGATATTTTGAGAACTGTTTGGTAAAATAAGAGAAAGAAAGACACTTAGATTCAGTAACATCCATTTATCCCGTGTCTTTCATTCCTCATTTCACAGTGCAAAGAGAGCAACATACACCATTTTAAACACCACAATCAAAACTTTCAGTTCAAAAAAATCTGTCATTAATTTGGACTCCATTTTCACATAATAAAAAGGGTTTGAGAGGGTGTGAAGATAAGAACTAGACCATTGACACTTCTCTAATGAAACAGGTTTAACTTAAACATGGTTAAGAATGGAATTAGATTGTGTCATGTGAGATTTCATTTGACTATGTTATGTTAGTCAACATCAAGTAGTACCTATTTCCAAGGATACCATGAAGCTGCATGATTAGTTTTTCTTCCTCAAGAGTAAAGGAACCACGTTTAATATCTGGTCTGAGGTAGTTGGTCCATCTTAGCCTACAACTCTTACCACAACGAAGAAGACCTGAAAAAGGGAGAGTTAAAAGGCAAGTTATATGGCCAATTATTCTTTTTTGACAATATTTTAAGCAAATACAAAGAAACAGAATTTTCATGTGAAGAAAAATCTCCAAATGCACAAGTAAATTGGCACTTGTTTACAATGTGTAGCAAACCTAGTAAAATGAAGGCCATGTTTTCGGTTAAGATCACACAAAGAACAAGAGAAATTCAACAGAAAAATATTAGGAAACAAAATGGTTATTAATGTATATTCTACAACTAAGCTTAACTCAGAGCATGCATATTTCAAGCATATTCAATGCATATTATAAACTAATAGGTGAATCATCAAACTCTAGATAATACCTAGAGCATAAAAAGAAAAATAATAGTTATTAACAAGATATTTGAAGTAATATGCAATGCTCACAAACTACCACACTAAAATCTATAATAAAGGGAAAACTTTCCCCTTCCCTTCAACAAAACCCAATATTGTTGAAATAACATGTTCGCGGGTAAACTAGAGGGACTCAAAAACAACATCTATTACAGTAGATTTTAGAAAAACAAAAACTATAACTAAAGTTGCAGATTTACCAGCAAATTAAAAAAAAAAAAAAACTAAATTAATGTAAGAATCATATGCTTCATATCAAAGAAAAGTAGCTAGAAGAGCAGCATTTTTCTGAGTGCAACAAAGTGAGGGAGACATCGTTTACAAGGAGAGAAAAGTGATTGTTGAAGTAGAGTTTGAAAACAAGAGCAGCAAAAAAGGATCCCTGAAGCAAGAGAAAGAGAATAAGAAGGAGATGTAAACCTGCTAACTTGGGAAGAGAACGCCAACTTCCATGGCCACCATTCTTGTTGATATAATTGACAAGAATCTCATCCTCTTCAGCAGTCCAAGGACCCTTCTTCAAACCCATCTTGTCACAACAGGGTTTCCTTCCCATCCTTACAACAGCAACAACAAAGTTATGAGAGTCATAGTAACAAAAAGTAAATTCAAAAACCAAAGATAAAAACAACAGCAACAACAACATATCTTGTCTTCTTAGAAAAATTTGACACACAAACACACACACCTTCAAGTGAGTGAGTGAGTGAAATCCCTGCACTAAATACACTTGAAGGGTTGAAATGGGTATGACATAAATTGGGAAGGATTTAAAGTATAAAGAAAATGTTTATGATCATTATGGCTATTTGAGGAGACAGTATTTATTGATCGGGCTTGCAAGGACTATAGGCGACTTTCAAGCTGGCTTTTTGCAATAAATGTGTTCAGTAATTCAGAACTTGAATCATCCCCTTCACACATATACATATACATATATACATATAAAAATTAAAAAAGGTGTCTTTGGTTTTTGTTTTCTTTTATTATTACAAAGCCGATAAAGTTGTGAAAGGATCTTTATCTCTCTTGGCTACCAAGGCAACGGTTTACAAAAATAGTTTTTTTGTAAAATTATGATATTTTGAATACAAAATTATAGAGATACGATAAAATAGAAAAAAAAGAAGAGGTTTGCATGAGAAGGGAGAAAAAGGGTGTGTGAGATTATTATTTTGCACATAAATGGAATGAGAGAGAGAGTGAGTGCATTAGTTGGAGAAAGAAGAAGAAAACAGAAAAGTGTAAGATTGAGCAATGAACATGTACACTCACATGCCCAGAGATTTCAAAGGATAGACTCAGACGAAAAGAAGCATCAATGAAGCTACCATTAATGGCACTCAGTGTACGGATTCAGCAATAATTAAACAATTTTTTGTTTTTTATACTATTTCAAATTTTTTTCTACACAGCAAGAACATATAGCAAGCTTTCAAAAAAATAATAATGAGAAAATAAGAAGCATTTGCAATTTCTTATTAGATTTTCGTCCTTTTTATTGAATAATTTTAAACTTTTCAAAAAAAACAAAAACAAATGATAATGTATTTTAACACTATCATTTCTTTTTTACAAAAAAGGATTACATGAATAATTTAGTAGAATTTATTTTAAACCAATAAATAATATTTTAAATGTCTTTTTAAATTAATTTTAATCATAAAATTTATATTAAAACATGACAAAATCTATTAATACTTTTTTTATACGGGGTACAAATATCTTTCCCATGTATAAATATTTAATATAACTATTTATTTATATCTTAGATTCAGATGAAGTAAGTCTAATAGAATAAACACTTAATCATATATATATATATATATATATATATATATATATACATTTAATTTTAAATTAAATTAGATTTTAATATGTCAGAAAAAAAATTATGTTAAATATGACAATTTTAATCAGATAGTGTTTTTCACTATTTGCTGTATCATAAGTTAGTTTAAGAATTATTATTATTATTATTATTATTTAAAATACAATATTTATAATAACTAAATATTTAAGGGTTATGAAAATATGACATTTTGAATAAATAAGTGATTATTTATATTCTCATACATTTCTTAATTTTCCAAACTTATTCTCCCTCTCATGGTTTCAAAACTCATTATTCCTAATATTTTCATTCTCGTTGTCATTCTTAATTTTTATTTAATGTTCCTAAATATATATTTTGTCTTTTTTGCTTCGAGAGTGCATAGCTCATTTATCATTTGTTATTCCTTTCTTTGATTAACGTTAAATATCTCTAAAAACGTGTTTTAATCTTCATTACAATGTAATTATATTAATGAATTGTTAATTTCTTTGCTCAATTCATGCAGGGAATGGTTTTGTTAAAGGGGGAATTTGTCACTCTCCTTCTGCCAAACTTTTAACCTCTTATTTTCCAATTTCAGTTTTAGTGGGAGAAGTAACTACCTAGGAATTATAATTTTCTAGTAACTAAGGTTGATGTTAAACAATATCGTATCGATTAAACATATAATAATATTAAAATATATAAATAATATACACGAATATAATCCTCATAGATAATAAATAAACGAATATAATTCTCATATTATTTAGTCTATTTTTTAACATTGAAACATATATCTGATCATCTATAAGAGTTGAATTAAAGAATATTTTCACTTCAATCTAACAATTTCATTATAAATCAGAATCCTAGTATTGATGAACTTATGAGAGGAGTAAAAAGAATCATGTATTTGAGACATGAAATGAAAGGAAAGCTATCATATTTCTTTTAAATATATATATATATATATATATTTTCGGTATTTATTCAAAAAAAAGATACATAAATTAAATAAGAAATCGAAACAATTCATAATAAATCTTAAATTGTTTAACGATTTTATAATAAAAATAATCTTAAAAAAAAATTAGAGATTAATTCCTATGACCTTTTAAAAAAGCAAGAAATAATTTCTATATCAATTATATTATAAAGAAAAAAAAATAAAACAACTTGATATATGAATATATTTTAAGAAAATTGATATGTCAAATTCGGCCTCCAATTGTTTTATATGGATATATTTTGAGAGATCTTTGAACACCAAATTTCTTTCAGGTATGAGAATGAATATTAGCACTCAACGGCCCAATAGTATTGTATGGTGAGCCTAACCTGACCACCAAAGTTAGAGAGAAGGACACACAGTGAGACATCTTTGTACAACGATGTGGCAAATCCTTTTCAAGCATAACCTTTAATCCATATTGCAATTAAAATAATTCTCCCACACAAGCTGAACACGGCTCAACAAAATGAGTCCACACTTACTCTTGTTATAAAATGTTTTTTTATAAGTAACTTATATTATAGATGTTGCAAAGCTAATAGTTATTAAAGGATTAAGTAATCGTTTAAACTTATTAAGATACACTTATCATAAGAATTATTTTGTAGATATTGCATTGTGAAATGAAGTGTTAGCAAGCACCTTATGGATCATCAGAGACAAGATTAATATTTTATAAAGAGACGTTTAATCATTCATTCTATCAAATTAATAAGAAACTACTACACGCACAGTGAGAATAACACCATTCTGCCAACCGGGTTAGGTTTTGAGGGATTGAACTAGAAATATGTGCAAACATTGTATCATTTCGAAAAATGTCCGTACAAAAGAAATTAAGATGAGGGAGAATAAATGATGAATATACAAAACAGCCAATAAAGTTGGGAACAATAATATATTTTAGTCCCTTAAGAATGCAATTAAGGATTAAATTCTTAGCTGTGTGTGGAAATTATTTGTTCCGAGACTTACCTCATTAACCTTTGAATGTTAGCAACAAATTACGGATTCACATGAACATTGCATTTTAATGATCAAAATAGAAAGGTCTGGTTACTAAACAAGAGAATATGGACCCACAGAATTCACAATGAAGAAATTATAACATCAAAGGCTCAGTTCAAAATATTTTTAAAATCAGTGCAATTTTAGGTGATAGTTACTACTGGATCCTGATTTGAGTGACTATGTAACTATTAAAGGCATATTGCATTTTACCCTCATGTTCAGTTTTGCTTCCTTAAAAACAACTGAAACATATGAACACAGGAAGACGAAACAATCTAGACGACGTTGAAGAGAACCCAACAAGTCAGCAAGGATCACGCAAAGAATAAAATCATGTTTCACAAGAAAATCCAAAATACTAGTTAGTATTGTTCACGGGGTCTTACAAGACAATACCAATTTTCTTAACAAATAGACTAAAACCAAACTAGAAAAAGAAACAAGGGGTCATACAAGGATAAGGTTTGATTTAACAAGATTATAAATGATAAAAGATATCTTTAAGTCTTGTTAGATTAATCTTTTATAAAATATAGTTTCTTTTCGGAATGTTTGTCCCATAATTACATTTGAAATTATCAAATAAACGTTTTATAAAAAAATGCTTCTTGACCGTAAAACAAAACACTCAAGCACATTATTCGAGCGCGTCCGAACTTCTTTTAAACCACTTGAAACATGTTTTTCAATAAGAAATATATTGCTGAAATAGAGTATAATTGTTTAAGAAAACAACTTTAAAGGGGGTAAATGTGAGATGAATATCAAATATACCCTTAATCTACATTTAAATAAAAATTCATTTTATGCAAAGCTGGCGATAAATTGTTGAACCTAGAAGGAAAATGTGCATTCTACCAAAGACATGGGTATAAAAACCATGAACATAAGAAGCTACCCCGCCATGCAGATACTATTTCAGTACCATGTACCTTCATAGCTCAAGAAATTAACAATTGATGAGGATCCCATCGGGCCCATCGCAAAATTAAAAACTAAGAAAGGCTCCACAAAACTTGGCGAGGCCTTCAAGGCTTCAACGGCAATGGCCATGAAAATCCTGGCGACAACCAATTACCAGCACCACCATGAACCAACCATATCCTCAGCTTGAGATTTCTACATCTAAGAATCTAAAATTTATAAGAAAACCCATGATGGCAGACCAACAATAACATAGGGAAGGGACAAGTTCATAACAAGGTATATTATCCCTAAACCATTCAATCATAAAACTAAAATACTAAAAACATGTAATGACAAAATAAATCTGCAAATGTAATTAACGGAAACCCAAACTGGACCCGGTAACTATCTAACAGTTAAAAGCCAATATTAAATTCTAAAAGGTCCCAACACAATGTTTCAGGCTCAAAACCAGAATTAATCGAAAAGCACTCAATAATGGGTCCAATAATACCCAGTTTTGAATGTGCATCCTCTCATTCCAGGGTCCAATAATACACTATTCACTAGCTTAGCATATACTCCCAATCACCTGCTTGAGCCACGGTCACACTAACCTGTAAGAAATCCACACATCAGCAACAGCCACTGCAGCTACAAATCATATTTGAGCTAAAACAAGTAGGCATATACCACTGCAAAGACCTACTAAACGAATTTAGAATATACAATTCTGAACATCTGCCCAGCAGCTTCTTATTTAATTGCCATAATTAGTAACAAATGTAAGGTATCCCCGAAAGAACTT